TATACAGGGTGTCCCAAAAATATTGCAACACCTTGAAAGAGGTGGTTCAGGAGGTGATTTGAAACAACTTTTTCCTTAGCGAAAATGTTGTCCGAGGCTTCGTTGAGGAAATATTAATGAAAAATACCGGACCAATCAGAGAGCGAGTATGCCGGCGGAACGCCCACGGTAGGCGTGGGCTACGCGCTAGGCGACCACCTTCCGCCGGCATCCTCGCGCTCTGATTGGTGCGGAGTTTTCTGTTAATATCTCCTTAACAAAGCCTCGAACGACAATTTCGCTAAGGAAAAAGTTGTTTCAAATTACCTCCCAAATCACCCCATTCAAGGACCTCCAACATTTTTGGGACACCCTGTATATGTATTCATATTATATCTCATTAAATATTCTTGTTCCAACATACGTTGTGTTATAATCCTGCCAATAATTAAAGGTACATCTATGGGAACAAACATTTTTCATACTGTATATCTAAAAATTCTTCCTGCACCAGAACAATGTGATGATTCATTTAAATATTATAAAAGACACCATTGTATACTCCACTGACATTTTGCATCAGGTACGTTAATATCGTACACAATTGGATGTTAACATAATTTGCATTGACCTTCCACTGTTTGGAAAGTCAGAATAAAATTTATCCCCATATTAGTCACATCATCGATGATATTATAATTTACTATTAAGTAATTAAATATATATTACTTATCTATTCTCACTGCCAAAAGTACTATCAATTTATTTTATAAAAGTTCAAATAGTATCATTATCTTCTCCATAGTATATAATAAAAAAAAAAAGAATTTCATTTAGTAATTAAAATGTAAGCTTCCACTATACTCGAATATAGCTAATTTTTGTTTCCACTTTTGCGCAAGCTTCGATGACTTAGCAATCATTGCATGCTTCTAAATTCGCGAATAATTTTTCTATATCACTCGATAGATTCCTAAATTATATTCTAACTGTTTCATTAACCCTTCGCGTACGTCTTACCAATCACTAATATTTCTATACGAAATACTACATGCCACTTTCTTATATGTTTCACTTGTTTTTTCTTTTTTTCATAATACTGTTCATGCTCAATTCGTTGCAAAACAATCGCACGCTACTTCTAAGTGCAAATGATTGCATCGCATGTCATGCATAACCAGCAGATTTCATGCTCTGTTTCGTTCGAGCGGAGTATCTTCCGGAAAAATAATTCGAATCGTGTCAAACCAACAAAAAAGCGAACGGCCGGTTAAGCTACATACGGCAGCCTGCTGAAAACGTATTCGAAAATTTCGGAAGGATAAAGCCGTCTTACAATTAAGAATATATTAATGATTATGAATAAATGAATGATTATGAAATAAATCAGGCGCATGAAGAAGTCCCAAAGTGCCTCTGAACCGGCCAAACTTTAACTGTGTACTTTACCTTCCTTTAAATTTTATTTTATTAGTCATAAAAGGAATTAATTCTGTATTAATCGCATTAATTGATACATGAATTAATACTGAAATTCCATGTCCATGAAACTTGAGTGAAAGACAGTACAACACACAGTATCTAAAATTTTATAGTACAAGGTTAATGGTGCTATTGAAAGTACGCTGAACAAACTTTCGTTTTTAAATGTTTTCTTTTTAATTATACAAAATTAATATTGTAAGGTTTGAATAGATCGTGGCATATCTGTAATTTATAATTAGTTATAAATAAATTTGATTTATTTTACGTATGTTATTGTGATAAATACTTTTGTTATGTACGTGTTACTTATACAGGGTGTCCCAAAAATGTTAGAGGTCCTTGAAAAGGGAGGTTCGGGGGGTTATTTGAAACAATTTTTTCCTTAGCGAAAATGCTGTCCGAGGCTTCGTTGAGGAGATATTAACAAAAAATGCCGGACCAATCAGAGCGCAAGGGCGGTCGCCTAGCGCATAGCCCACGCCTACCGCGAGCGCTCCACCAGGATACTCGCGCTCTGATTGGCCCGGGGTTTTCTGTTAATATCTCCTTAACGAAGCCTCGGACAACAATTTCGCTAAGGAAAAAGTTGTTTCAAATCACCCCCCAAACCATCCCTTTCAAGACCTTCCAACAATTTTGGGACACCCTGTACATTTAAGAGTTAGATGTAATGTACAAATATTAAATGTGATATTATGTAATATACATATATAATTAAAGAATATATAGATATATACATATACAGGGTGTCCCACGCAACTGGAACAGGCTGAATTGATTTGTTTGCTCTAATAGAATATTATACTATACAAACTAAAGAAACTTTTATTCATAAATTGATTTTAACATATAAATATGCTGCCTCGTTTTATTATGATATACAGGGTGTCCAAAAAATGTTGGATGTCGTTGAAAGGGGAGGTTCGGAAGGCGATTTGAAACAATTTTTCCCTTACCGAAAATGCTGTCCGAGGCTTCGTTAAGGAGATATTAACAAGAAACCCCGGACCAATCAGAGCGCGAGTATCCCGGCGGAGCGCTCGCGGTAGGCGTGGGGTACGCGCTAAGCGACCGCCCTCCGCCATCATACTCGCTCTCTGATTGGTCCCGGGTTTTCTATTAATATCTCCTTAACGAGGCCTCGGACAGCATTTTCGCAGAGGAAAAAGTTGTTTCAAATCACCACCCGAACCTCCCCTTTCAACGACATCCAACATTTTCTGGACACCCTGTATGTATGTGTTAATCACGAAAACAGTATTAAATTATCCCACCTGTAGCATAAAATTAAATATCATGACTTGAATATAAGAAACAGATTAATGATATGATATGAAAAAGGACTTAGGAAATGACAAAACACAAAATACAATACAAAATTTGGGAAAAAATAAGGCTTGTAATTAAAAAGAATGTTACTATTGGATATCAAATATTCTCAGTTTTTCCTCTATGAATTATTTTTTTGAATGCTATATAAATATTGAATGATTCATTTTTATTTAAAAAAAAATTACTAATTGTACTAATGTTACTAATTGTTACTATTATAGAAAAATGTTACTATTGGATATCAAATATTCTCAGCTTTTCTTCTATGAATTATTTTTTTGAATGCTATATAAATATTGAATAGTTCATTTTTATTTTGCAAGCAAAAATAAAATTCATGGGAAAATATGGGTAAAAAAGTGTCTTGGGATTATGATAACCCTTATCAGAGCTCCAGTGTGGGGCCACCCTTGCACTTAGCGCGTTGCTATGCAATGCTATCAGCGTTATACCACCAAACAATACTATCATCTTTATCTCCTTATCATTTTTATAAAAACAAAGTAATTCGCGAAAAATATTCATTTCCCTGAATTTTAATTCTGCAAAACTAAATTAAAATTCACAGAAATTTTAATTCTGCAAAAATTCAGACTTGTCAGCGTGTATCGATTGTTTCACTTCTTAGAAAAGAAACATCCACAAACCTGTACGATATATGTATATTTCTCGATATAATCAGTAAAGTAAACAGATAAAGTTAGACCAAATTGTTCAACCACTTTGGAAAAATGAATAGAAATAAAAAAAATGATTTGCTTATAGCGTTACCTTGACAGTCGTCTCTGTAGTGTTGGCATTTTGGCGGCGGCGGAGGCGCGTTCGTATACTCTATTGGTCGAGCCGAAAAAAAAAAAGGAAAATAATAATTAGCCGCACTACAATAAACTGTGGAAACAATAACACTCGGCGTGAAGGATCACTGTAAACATTCGACGAACTTGCCGGTTAATGGACACACACTCTGTTCTTCGGCATCGATCGATATTGGTGTCTCCGGGATGAATCACTTTTTCAATATATTAAAAAAAAAAGAAATAAATAAATAGAAAAATTGTTGAATGACGTAATTGTGTTTCGAAGGAATGGTAACAAAAATTTGTGGTCGGAAAAAGGAGTTTATCACTCTTCCAGTTTCTGTGTCGCAATTTGGAGGAGTTCTATTAATTTTTTTATTATTATTTTTTTATTAATACATATCGCGTGACAACGACAATCACGACACGATGATATTTCTAAAATGTTACGAGCTGTTAATTTCTTAGAACTGTAAATAATAATTTTTAAAGAAAATTCCGTGAGATGCGAGTAAATAAAAATTGCGAAAGGAACTTGGTATTTGTTTTTTAACATTGAAGGAATACACGATGAAATGAATAAATGATATGAACTTTTTCGTTCAAAAAATTGATAGGAAGTAACATGAAAGTTTTAATTTCCACTTTTATTCGCAATTTATTCCATGTTACATTCGTAAATGATTCTGGTTATAGTTCAAAGTATTGCTATTAATATGCTTAAGTTTAACGTATTCATAAAGGAACGGTACAATAAATGTCTTCATATGTTGTAAGTAAAAAATATTTTACTGCCATGGAAAACTGTATTGTTTATCGCTTTTAAAAATAACTCGTAACATTTTAGATACCAAGATCACAAACCAACGAGAAGAAATTCTCCTTGTCTAGCCATAAGGTATTGAAACGCAACGAGCAAAGGTGTAGACACATAATCGTATGCTACCTTGTTTCTGTTTATTTTCAAAGTAAATAGAAAGAATTCTTTTAGTGCGCAATTTAATTAAAAGGATACCGTGCTTATCAAAAAAGAGGTTTTTGGTCTAATAAAAAGGATTATACAGTAAAGTCTCCATAAATGCACTGAAACCATCCCCACCACTGGGTGGTATACCCCTTGGGGGGAAAAGGAGTTGGTTTCGAGTATGTCAGTTTCACCTAAATAATTTGTAATTTATGATGTTTCCATAAATGCACTGAAACGATCACCACCACTGGGGAGTATACCTTTTGTGGGGAAGAGGAGTTGGTTTCGAATATGTCAGTTTCACCTAAATAATCTGTAATTTATGATGTTTCCATAAATGCACTGAAACAATCACCACCACTGGAGAGTATTCCTTTTGTGGGGAAGAGGAGTTGGTTTCGAGTATGTCAGTTTCACCTAAATAATTTGTAATTTACGATGTTTCCATAAATGCACTGAAACCATCACCACCACTGGGAGGTTATACCCCTTGGGGGGAAGAGGAGTTGGTTTCGAATATGTCAGTTTCACCTAAATAATTTGTAATTTATGATAAGTTCCTAGTTCACGAATAATAGAATATTATATTTCTTATATTGTTTAATTCATATCGAATCTTGACATTTTTCATTGAAGAAAATAGAAAGTAGTTTGTTCGTACTGTCTACAGTAAAGTCTCCATAATGCACAAACTCGGGACTGATCTAGTGCATTTATGGTAGACTTCGTATATTCTCTGATTGCTGTCGACGAGCTTCGAACGTAGAGAAGGACAGCGAATAAAGAAGAGGACGGAGCGAAAACACCAAGGTATATAGTTGAGACAATGTAATCCAATGGCGAAACTTTTTCATTATTAACTATTTTGTTGTACAACTTTAATTATCGTATTCCTAACATTTTTCTGATTAAAATGAGACTAAACACGATATAAATCGGACGATATGTACCATTCATCTTTTTTTAGTTAGTACTCTACGATAAATGATATGAAATAAGTTGTTACAAGTAAACATGTTGCGAATTACGTCGTGTTTGGTCTCATTTTAATTAGAAAAATATCAGGAATATGATGGTAAAAGTTTTACAACAAAAAAATTATTAATAAAAAAAGTTTCACCGTTGGATTAAATTGTCTCACGGGGTAATCCGTTCCCAGATCATGTTTACACTACTCGGATATCGAACTCTGTGACCCCTCAAAAGGTAAGTATACCCCTAAGTGGTGAAGATGGTTTCTGTGCATTTATGGTAGAGATATTTCTGCATTTATGGAGACTTTGCTATAGACAGTATAAACCAACTATTTTCTTGAATGGAAAATGTTTTCGCTCCGTCTTCTTCTTAGTTCGCTGTCCTCTACGTTCGAAGCTCGTCAGAAACCAACAGAGAATATACGAAGTCTACCATAAATGCACTAGATCAGTCCCGAGTTTGTGTATTTATAGAAACTTTACTGTAGACAGTACGAATAAACTACTTTCTATTTTCTTCGATAGAAAATGTTAAGATTCGATAAGAATTAGACAATATAAAAAATATAATATTCTATTATTCGTGAACTAGGAACTTATCATAAATTACAAATTATTTAGGTGAAACTGACATACTCGAAACCATGTGTTTCTGGTAGTGCACCTGTGACAATTAAAAAAAAAAAATACATAGCTCTACTAATTATTACAAATATGGGTATGTATAAATACATTATTGTTTTTCACAGCAACACAAATATATCTTTAACGATAAACCCATAAAATAAACAAATTTTCTTTCAACAAGCATAGGTATATGTTTAATCAAAACGCAGCGTCGGAGAATTCTTCTAAACTTCTTAAGAAATAATAAAAAAATTGAAGGTGGATTATCGCATATGTACTTACAGCCCTGCTCGTCATTGTATAATACATACAGTGTCTCATAGTAAATATCGGCTGCATAGTAATTCAATTCTTGAAGTAAGATATTTGCAAATTTTTCTCACTTACTGAATAAATGAAAATGAAATCGTTAATATGTAAAAAATAAGGACGAGAGTCTTTTAAATATCTCTTATTTATGATCGTAACCTTCGAATCTGGCATCCGAATTCCAAAATTCAAAATGGGCGGATTCAATATGGCCGACATGTATATTGAAAAATTATTAGATTTTCACGAAACTTAGCATTTATACCTTATTTAAGCCGCAAACTTGGAATCTAATATCAGAATTGCAAAATTCAAAATGGCGGATCCAATATGGCCGACATGTATATTGAAAAGTTATTAAATTTTAAATAGTCGAAATTCAATTTTCTTTTCTTTCAAAATTATTGTTGTTAGATAGCCTTTGCAGAAAAAATACAAAAAGAATGTTTAAAGTGTTTTAGCCGCAAGCTTCGAATTTTATACCGGAATTGCAAATTCAAAATGGCGGATCCAATATGGCCGACATGTATATCGAAAAGTTATTAG